CATAGAGTAAATGCTACACTATTACCACTTGTGAATACGCTTGAATTTTAACGTTCAATAAAACGACAATGTAAGAATATGACGTAAAACTAAAATCTGACAGCAAATGAAATCACTGGGGATATTTTTGTTACAGACGCACGTTGTATCACCTCCGATTCAGTGGCCGTCTGGGCCTGCAAACAATGATGTCTTCTCCAACCTCTGCCTGATGACAGAGCTATGTGACTTCCTGCCAAATGTTAAGCCAACTGTCAGAACTCATAAATCCTACAAGGAGAAGAACAGATTGAACACCACGGCAGTAGCAAGATGAATGGATCGATGAAAATTATCTGCACAGTATCCCAAGAATGTTCCCCTGTACAGCACTTGATAAAGTTATCATAACACCGTTAACATTGGCCGTACACATTTCTTGTAAAGCTCATCTTTGCAAACAAAGTGTAGTTCCTTTAACATCCATATACTGCAAAGTCACGATGGATATGTAATAACAAAGAAAAAGATTTACAGTGATAGAAGATAGTTTACAACCAAGTATTATCGTTATACCTGTATTAATAAATAGTAAATGACAGTATTTTGTCAATCCACTGCTAGATGCAAGCGTTCCAACACCATGCTTTACTATATGGGTTGGTTAAATGGGGAGCGCAGCAGTAGTCAGATATCACTCGCCACTGATGTTAGTCGTGTACAGGAATGAAACTCAGGTGACCTGAGTTCACAAGGCAGTGCACTACTAACACCTGCACCTCCTACCTTTGTTTTCGTTTCAGTCTAGAAAGAAAAACGTTAGCAATTATCCTTTCAGTCCAATGTGGCTTTGTACGTCACGAAAATGAATTTTCCATACAATACCATGTAAATTATTACCTTTAACATTTCATCAACTGTGAAAATCTGCAATGACTGTTTTACATTAGATTTGTTTTCTTTCGCTAAAGCCTTAAACTGCATTGGTCTCCACAGCTGAGTGACAACACAATCAATGATTGTTAAGCAGTCAGTCATAGGTTCAGAAGGAAGGTGGTCAGCAGATGTGTGCTGCATTCTGCCAAAACTTCTACTCCCAATTATCGGATGCTAAAGATTCACTCCAAGATAAAAAAAACAGCAGGCACATGGAAGTGGTGAAGAGAGGGTCAGGTCATTCACCAGTAATATTACTACTATGACAGAAGCAAACAAGCTTGCCCATTGATGTCGTGTCTCTGAACTTGAACATGAGGTTCCCATCTGGAGTGAGGATTTTTTTTTTATGTCAGAACAGAATGTTTGAAGTAGTGCTCTTGTCGTTTCGGCCACAGAGGAAAAAAAAAGGTTTGCATGATTCATTTACGATTACTAATTATTGAATGTATATAGCGCTGCAATTTCACTACAGCATTGTTACATTTATAGAATAGTGGTCAGTCGTTTATCTCCCGTTAAGAAGTAGTTTAACATGTCCGATTATAACGCACGTAATTACGTGTGTTACTGCCCAGTAAACACGCAACATTGCGCCAATGTTGGCATGTTGGAGCAACGGTGGTCCAACGACTCATGTATACTTGGTGAATGGTTTTACAACGCATACATAATTACACGCATTGCAAAGCTTGCAATGTATTTCAAAGATACAGTTGCATGATTTGTACACATGCAGTGATCGGTAACCATGTGACTGTTATTGGAAGCTTACCCTTGCACTCTCACGAACAGGCACACTACTGCTGAGAGGAATAAACATCCCATGATCCAACTCTAACTACTACTTCTTAAACAGCCAAACAATTAACAAGGACCCATGCTGTTGACTTTTAAGACATGAGGCACTCTAGTTTGTAAAGTGATCCGCCGAATAGGAAATAGTCTAAACCACCGGAAAAGCATCAGCAAGGTCACATAGCCGACAGTGTGCGGATCGCAAAGCACCAATCACGCTCCCCTTATAACCACAGCACACGCTGATGCAAGCTGATGGTCGCTAAGATAAACCTACAATTTAAACTAACAGCCAGCTCACATTCTGTACCGTAATTGCACAGGAGTTGTTTTCTTCTTTACTTATTACCATCTAATCTTTTGAAGTATTGTATTACTTTAACTGATGCACAGTATGCCATTTAAAATATAGGCCTGTTCCTGATGGGGTCATTGGTCATAAGCACAGTCAACAAAAATTGTCATCTTGAAAACGTTAATAAAATAAAATGAAATATCCTTATTAGTGTCCATCAAAAACATGTTTGCTTTGGAATCTGTTTCACACTCAAAATATAAAATATTTTTTAAACACTTTGTGTGCACATATTTCTCATGGTTCTGCTGATGTGTAACAAAGTGACTTTTACAGCCTCCTATAGAACTGCATTCCACCCTTCTCATGAGCATAAAGAGCAGTCGGTTGACATGTTTATTACCCTAGCAGAGACATGCCAAATTCTGTGGCATCTCAATGGCCCTGGCCACTGCTGAACATTTAGGTGACGGTGTGTAGTCATGCACACCCGTGTGATTAGAGTATCAAAGCTACTACAGCCTGGCCTCAAATGTCAGAATTGCTGTGCTGGCATGCTGAGGCACCGTGCGAATGATGTAAATCACTTACTGCTCCGATGGCAGTAGCAAGTGAAATACTTCCTCACGTGTCAGTGGAAAAAATTTGGTCTATTTGATCCATCGGAAATGAATACAAAATTTAGTAAAAAAAAATAACACAGCCAATCACTGCAGCTAATAAGAATACTGTACTTGGTAATAATTTGAATCATTATCAGCCATGATCAATCCACTGCTGGATGAAGCCCCCCCCCACAAGCTGCCACCATGTAATCGGTATGACATAAATCATATGGCGATTGAAGAGGGAAACAACTATTGGAGAGAGACACAACTGGAAAACACACGTGATAACATATACTCAGGGTAGCTGTTGAAGGTGGACCAGGATCAAAATATTGTAATTAAATAATAAGACGGATGAGAGCAGGTCAGAGTGCTTTTCAAAAACTGAACTTAACAAAGAAAAGCAGAGTATCAATGTCCCTCAAGCAAGAAGACAGTGTTTAGAAGAGAGTGTTTAGAAGAAGAGAGTGTTTAGCCAGGGCGCGTTATCTGCCATGACTTGGATCAGACACACAGACGTTAACAAAGAAAAGGGAACACTGAAAAGTGGTGTGGAAACCATGGGGAGGTGCATGCTCGTATCTCTACTACGAGACATAAAGAGGACCGGAGAATACAATACGCAAGTTGACTGAATCAAAATACGTGGGCTTGGGCAGGACATGACACTGTGAGGGATGACAGCCGGTAGACGAGACTAACGGCAATTTGGCATCCAACGGAGAGAACACACCCAAGAATACATACATCGCAGAGACAGTTATCAAGTCATGTAGATGGATTATGTATGACCGGGAGAGATGACAGGAGCTTGGGGAATTCTTCATCTAGCAGCGGATAGATCACGGTTTATGATAATGATGATTTGGCCAGTGTGTCTTGGTGGAGCCAAATATTGTGAGAGGGCCTACCACATAAGATGTCTTACCCACAATGGTTGGTGATGTGTTGTCCCGTAGTTGAAAAACTATAACTGAGCAAATGCACCCAAAGAGTTAAACAGCGCTGTAAAGGCCATAAGGGATTGAATTACACAATAAACTACTGTCATGTGAAAAATGCTAAATGTTGTCCTGAGATGCTCAGATGCTCGAGTATCATCTATGAAAGGTTTCTGAGACACATGCCGTCTTGCTTAGGAAAAACTGACCTGATAAATGTGTTTGGTTAATCAAATGAATGTACTGTGTTTTGAACACTGCATAAAAAAGCAGTAAAGATTGATCTGTGAGAGTCAAACCAAATTCGCATCAAAAACAATTACTTAAAATCACTTACCTTTTTTCTCAAATTGTCGAGCATTTACACGGCAGGCTATAATCGAACCTTTAAGCAACTCCATCATGCAACTGCAGATTTTAACGTTAAATGTAGTTAAATTAAACTTAACTGCAGTGTGTGACATGTTACAGCATTAACTATGGTGTATTAAGACAGCGCTCGGGATTTCAAATGGAATGGCTTCAGCAATGCGGTGATAGCGATCAGGTGTTATGCTGACTGAAAATGAAACGGTTTAGCCTATTGAAACAACCCTTTTTGATGCCATTTGATTACACATGCTCTCAAATTAGATCTGGTTTTGAATGTTCATGCTGCTAATAACCCATATGTTGTGTAAGGGATTTGGAGTATGGCAGCTAGAGAAAGAACCTGGGGTTGAATGTGGTGGTTAACATTTATACTCGAGATAATGTGAGAGATTAAATTAACACTATAACTACAGTTGCAGCTGATAAATACGAAACATTTCAGAAATGTAATGTACCTTTAAAGTATACAAGTCAAGTGATTAGTTAAAATGTAACGTATTGGTTGGTCATTTTGCGAGCTAATTGAGAGCTACATTAGTACTGTGCTAGTAAATTAGATTAACTTAATCATGTCTTAGGGACAATGATTTATTTAAATTTTAGTTGGCAGTGATTTCGAAATTTGTAGTTGGGATTTGTTGGATCTACGAGTACGAAAGAATGGATGGCAAGTTATGATCATGGCGACGGCATTAGCCACAATGACCTCTTGACCTCCTGAACCTCTCACCACTACATTGGCACACACCAGCGTACGGTTATGATGCCGCCAACGCAAGACAAGTGCGTTGGAATCTCCTGTTAGAAAGTTGTTTACATCCGAACGTAACAAAAGAGCATCATTTAAATATAGCTGACGCAGGACCACTATCTTAAAATTCCCTGTGGTGCTTTGCCCCCATCTTAAGGACAATAATTTAAGTCAGTTGTGGGCGATTTACAAATTCGTCGTCGAGACTTGATGAATGCAGGAGAACGAAATAATCGATGGCAAGGTGTGGTGGTGTCGACGGCATTGGCCACGATGACCTCCTGACCTCCTAGACCCTTCAGCACAACATTGTTACTCACTTGAGGCCAGCACACGGGCACGGCGGCTCAGCAGCAGGCCGAAGCGATTCTGGGCCGTGCAATCGTACTCGCCCTCGTCCGACCCCTCGCGGCCACCGGCGCTCCGGCGGAACGAGGGGATGTACAGCGAGCCGTTGGGAAGGAGGGCGTGCGTGGCGGGGGTAGCAGATGCGGCGGGGGGCGCCGCCGTGGGACCGCTGCTCGCGTCGCCGTCCATGGCCAGGTCGAGAGCCACGCCATCTCGCCGCCAGCTCACGGCGATGGGCCGCACGCCCTCAGCACGGCAGCTCAGCGCCAGCGGCTGCCCCCGCACGCCCACTGTGTCCTGGGGCTCCTCGAGGAAGGCGAGTTCGCTTGGCGCGCAGGGCCCTGCGGTGGTGGTGGTGGTGGTGGTGGTGCACGTCACACATTCAACAACAACCGATGCAGGAGTCATTCAAGAGTCAGATTTCCACGTGCATTTTTTGTAGTGGCATAAAACAATGGTTACATTATAGAGGTGCAACAAGTTGCTGCCACCCTCCCCCACCACCAATTCATGGTTGTGATAACATTCAAGAGCCGATTTTTTTTAGCACTGTAATCAATGCAGCGGCCTCAGGTGGCTGAATGAGTGAGCCCAATTACCTAACACATATAATACACACGTTGAATCTTCCACACGCGGTTAGATGCAGGTGCCATGAGTTAAAAAACTAATATTAACTGATTAATGCATGCATCGTTACACTTTTATTAAACTACGTGACTCTTCTCGTCGGTGACATTCGTTGCTTGTGAAAGTGTTGCATTAGAATACCTTTCAGCAGTGCAGATCAAAGGCTCTGACCATTTGGTAAATATAAACACTGGCGTGGCGCTGCAGAAGTTTATTGAACCTCATGCCTGCACGCTTTTGCAAGCCACGTGATGGACTAATAGCTTTCCATGACACAGTGATCATAGAGACCTCTTTAGGGGTAAGGAACAGAGGTGGCTCAGAGTGAACTATGCAACTTTTTTTTTGTTTATGGCCACAGCTTCTCCCAGGGCAGGCCTCCTTGCGCAAGGACAAAGAGCAGGAAATGAGGCCCTGTGAGCTGGGTGGATAAGCTGCACGTTATTGTGTGCTGGAGGTGTGCAGCGGACTGTGGCTCGATTTGTCGACACGAGCCATCGGTGGTTTGGGAGACAGCCGACTGTGAATGGGCTTGCTGTAACTACTTCCTGCTGTAAAAACAGTCTGGCCGCTCCCTTGTGGAAGCTACTAGCCGCATCTGGGCGATAAAACCCTTAAAGCGATCAGAGAAGGAAGCAGTGGGGAGGAAGGTGGGGCCACATGTAAGCCTACATTGATGCTAAACACGTGCTAAACAACACTGCCCACAGGAAACACTCCTCTGCCCTCAAACTGGAAATGCGTGATGTAAAATGTAATACCCCCACCATCATTATGGAACTGGAAAAGAGTGTCGATGCGCATTTCATGGCGAGGAATGCAATGTTAAGTGTATTGAGAAATGCCATTAAATAAGTCTTTCTGAAATATATGTTAGTGCAATTCAGTGAACTAGTAACATTGTGTACATATCTGGAACTATGTTTGAATCAAAAGAAGTTTTTTTTTAAATAATGCTTAACTGTGGTTTGTCCTTAAACTGTAAAAAAATATTTAGAAGCTATCCTAAGACCAATGCAACAAATCGTGCCATTAAATGCATGCAGACAAGAGCTCATTTCAACGAGGAACTGCGACTGCTATAGTCTCTACGAACTCAAGTGTATTAAATAAAAGCAGTCTCAGGCTCGCCCAATCAGATTCTGTTCAGAGTTACAACATACTTCATTTGTGGTTACAAGCATGAAAACACAAACACGCATCTTGTAAAACAGCCAATAAAATGTACGCTTGCCCCATCAGGAAGAGCGTCAAGCACGAGGCGGTGTGTGGCATCTCACGGCCAGGCTGCTCGGCCACCAGGGACCCACCCACTGAAGGGTCTGCTGTCACAACAGCCTCATGACAGACAGCATGCAGTATGTATGCATGCATGTTGAACTCATTTTTCACTGTACGTAGCCAACTGTGCAAATCGGAGGTGCGGGGGAAGGACAACAAACTAAACACAAAAACGCAGTTCTAAAGAAATTATTTTCAATCGAGAACGAGTTTTCAATCTAGAAATTAGGTTTAAATCAGTACTCAGTCTTGGCTTGTGATTCATCACGTATTATTCTGATATGGATTAATCCATTCCATTTGCATGTGATATTCTATCAACTCACTTGGAACTTTCAATTTAAAGCTTTCGTGACTGCAAGGATTCATCTTCTTTGGTTCTTTCGGTAAAGTCACGTAGAATGAGAATAAAATAATAAATTGATAAAATAAAATAACACAATAATATTCTCACGACGTTTCGGCCACAACACAAGCGGCCTTCATCAGGTGAAGGGACGAGACTGTCTGGTAGGACAGCGCTGGAGTGAAACAAGCCACGTTCAGATCACGACCTTTAAGCTGTGTCAGAAGAAACAAAGCGCCTTGACAAAGGAATTAGCATATAATTTAGCATTGAAATGGCCGAGTGATTAGCTTGTGACTGGTCACAGAAATGGCTGTGTTAAAGTTAAAGCATACACATCCGCAGAGGCACCCCTTGACAAAGGAATTAGCATAGAATTGTTTTTTTTATATTTCACATTTCCAAATTTGCTTGGCAAAATTAGGAAAATTAGCTGCAATTCCATTATAAACGCATTGTCTAACCAACAACTTCATGTCAGTATACGGACAGGTAAGCATTAGTTCAGGTTATCACGTAAATATATCAACTGCATACGGGAAACCAGACTTTCCACACGGTCACCAAAAGGCTTGTTTAGTTATTCACCAAAGTTATTTTCAACTAAAAACACACCGACTACTATTGCTTAGTTCATTTACTACTACAGTAGACTAACAACAGCTGGTAATCAATTTATGAAAAGTATTTCTATAATCAAACGGGCATTGGGATCTGCTCACCTCCGTTGGAGATTGTGACAGAAATTATGCTCACATTCTAGCCATAGGACAATCACAGTTGACTTCCCACGAAGCAGGACTTCCTTTATTGACCCAAGAGGCCGAGATGAATGATGGATTGAGCTGACCCTCGACCACGATTTAAATTCAGACCTTCGGATTGTGAGTTTAGAGTTCTGCCACAGCACCACATTATTGCCATCTGCCTAATCTGGTTTGTATCTTGTATTTTCCCGATTTTTAGTTAATATTTTCCCATTAAATATTTGGCTGATATGCCCTGTAATTTAAAATGTACCTCTGGAATTTTAATAGTTTAGTACTTATTCAAAGGCTTTTCGAGACATGCAGTATCTGCATTTGTATTTACTTCAGTAATCTAGGTCTCCTTTGAAAAGAATGTGTGATCTCAATGGGCTCTCACATTAATATTTTACTATCATACTCCCATTTGCAATGCAATCTTACATTTACCCCTGCGCGTGCAACATGACTGACAAGAGTGCAATGTTCTTTCAACATTCTATTCAGGTGTCCCTTAACCAAAAAAATGGAACTTCAAGTCGTAAAGGGCTCTCAATCAAGATTCTGGCTCACCTATGGAAAAGCAAAACCACCACGCGCAGCGCAGCCTCGTCCATTCAGCTTTTAATTAAGCCCACATCGTCCTTTCGTTGCGGCCAGTGGGATATTATGTTTAAAATCTGCCCATAAACAGTAATGAAAAACACGGCAATAAACCTAACGCTACCAATCAATACGTGGTCACTTCCAACGGCGTTGCCGCGGACCGGGCTCCATGTGCAGCAGAACGCAATAAAGAGGAGGAGGAGGAGGCGCTATGAGGAGGAGGGGGTGGGTGGAGGCGTCGCGTGAGCGGCCGTGCTGCTAAAGCCATGTATCACTCTCCCGGTCAAAACCCACGCTTTGTCCTGCCCGAGCAGGGAATCGCCACAAATGCCTTTTCACCGCCCGAGACCGGAGCGGACGAGCAACAAAGACGTGGCGAGTCGCGCGCGGCACGAGCGGAAGAAAAAAAAGCAAAAACCGCAAAGTCGGTTTTCGCGGAGAAATAGCGCTGCCAATTAAACCCCTTGCGCGTTTGCGTTAATGTGCGCTAAAGCTGGTTTTGATGGTAGGGTGGTTTTTTTTGTTATGTGGCGGTACTGTAGTGTTTTGTGTTAAGACCCTGAAAGGATCCTGACAAAACTCCCCCCCCCCCCAACCTCCCTGTAAGCGTGAGCTTGGCAAGCAGTGGCGGTCGTGACGGGAATGGCCTTGCACAGTGAACACGTGCTCTGCTCAACTTCTTCCACGGTTTTTTTTTAACCCAACTCCGTGCGTGCCTCACTTTGCTCTTTAACGCATCTACTCTTCAGCTCCTCTCACGTTAGGGATACGAGTGTTTAAAACGCGAATTTGTATCCTGAATTGCACACGTGAACACATGCTCTACTATTATTAAACCAAGACAGCTTTAACCTGCTCACTCCTAATTCAGCAGATGGCTTTGGTTTCGTTTACAGATGCCCCTTCGACTACTCTGAACTTTTCTGGAAAACAGCAGCAAAGGCTGGCAACAGTACAACTACAGGACAGTCCACTTTGAGGTGCACCAGCGTGAGCAGTAGGTAAATACAGCTGGCAAACTTTGCGTGGAGCAGCTGTTAGCTATAACAACAGGACAATCGCCATCCAGACTGTTGCCACCGGGCTTGAATCATCAACACTAACTTATCCCACAGCTCGCTTCCAAAAATGATTGTTCCCCCATACGCTACAATATCACGGTTTCACAGCACCACGAAACACGGCGAGCTCAGTTTGACCACCGGTCACGGGTAACATGAGTGGGTGCCACGTGGTATCTTGAACTGGTCCTTGGGCATCCAGCCCGCATTGACCAGTGTGGTGAAGTATGGTCAAACAAATCCCCAGCCGCGGATTTGACAAAAATCTGCAATTATGTTAAGTTTTAAAACCCTTAAGGCATGCTTTAAGAACCACCTAACAGACTAGCGTGTGCCAGTTACATATTCTACACAGTTTATTGCACAAACGTGTTACTATTTCACTGTCAAAAGCTTTTTATGTGTTTACAATGTTAAGTTCTAATTGTTTCTAATGCTTCACAATGAACTCTCATAGTTGTGCGATTGCCAACGTCACTCTGTGCGCTGTTTAGCTGTACCTGCTTTGCTATTTCCTTTAGTAACCCGGGTCCCCCTCACTGCCGTCTCAATTGGTTATAAAGTTTCTGTATTCTATCCACGCTGACCAGATTCCATACACGAAATACTCCCGTCCCCACACTCTTATCGAACGCATATACAAACGATCTCTCGTTTAGATGAAACGCCGCGGGAACAAACCTCCTCGTCGACTAAGAGCATCACCGCAGAAGGTGCACGCTACCACGTGTAATCCATGGAGATATACGAAAACATGACGGGGCCATCAAGCGCCGATGCTGCTATTCCGCACAACGCACCCTTTTTTTTGGCTGAGTACACCTAGGGTGAGTACCTTGCACGATCGAGGCGAAAATTGCCACCGGTGGGCTTACGTGGGGCCATGAAGCTCCCAGTCGACTGGATCCCCCATCCAAGATCCGAGCTTAGAAATCGTGTTGAGATCCCAAAACCAAAACGCCATGGAATTTGTCCCGCTTGAACCACCGATTCGCAAAAGAATATCCGTGAACCGCAATTTGGCAGTCACGCCAAAGCACGCACGGTTTGAAGCAAGTGGCACTACACGTAGCGGTCTACTAAAACAAGAGTTGTGAATCGTGCGCCACGTGCTTCCTCGAGACGTGTGTTTACCTTACTGCGTATGGCGCGACTGTGACACATTTCCGATACACGCAATTTGGTGAGAAAATACATCGATGATGACGACGATGAGCGCGCGCATCATCACCATCACTCTTGAGCTACAAAGTTCAGCGATCAGGCTGGGGGCACGGGTAAACTCTTGCAGAGAGGAATCGAAGGAAGGTAATAGTAGTGGTAGTAGTAATAGTAGTGGGGGGGGGGAGGAGGATTCCGCGGCTTCACAACTTTTCGCTGCCCATTGCACAGCGCGAGTGGGGTTGCTCTTCTCGCAGGCACTCGAGAGTGCTCGCTTGTCGAGAGAGCGCGCGCGCGGAGTGGGATTCCACTCTCCTCTTTCTCTCTCTCTCTCATTCTCTCATCTCTCTCTCAATCTCTCTCAATCTCTCCCCTCTCTCTCTCAATCTCTCCTATCGCTCGCCACCGTTCACTCACCGGCCAGAAGCGTGAGCAGCATCGCCGTCACCGGCGCCCAGAGGCTGAGGTAGTTGTAGGAGACGGCCATGAGGAAGCGAAGCGAAAATAATAAGCAAAAAAAAACCGCCCCCCCACACCACACCACACACTTTAGACCAACAACAACAACAACAAAAAGACGCCGCAACTACGGGCAGCAGCAGCAGCGGCAGCGGCAGGAGCTGCGGGTCGGCGAAAGCGACGGCCGTCCGGGTCGCCCGGGCAAAAGCGGTCGCAGAGGACAAGTCGGTCCCTCTCCGCCCCCCACGAGAGGAGCCCGCGGGAGTCACCACCACCACTACCACCACCACCACTACCACCGTCGCCACCAGCAGCAGCGGCAGCGGCGCCGAGAGCCGGGCCCGGCCCGAGGGGTCAGACGCCCTCGCGCCATCTTTGCGCATCCCCCCGCACGGCGCGCGCCGCCGCTTCTGTCCCGCGGTGCGCGCGCGCCGTCATCGCGGCAGCTCCTCAGACGCCGGTGGGGAGGAGGAGGAGGAGGGTGGTGGTGGTGGGGGGGAAGGAGTTCGTGCCGGCGGTTGCCGGTGGCTGTGAGCAGTCGGTGGTGGTGGTGCTGCTGCTAGTGATAACGATGGCAGTAGTAGTAGTGGTGGTGGCGGTGCTTGGATGGGGGAGACACGCGATGCGACCCCGCGGAATCGCCGCCGCCGCCGCCGCCCTCGACGCGCGCACAACGCCGCCCGGCTAAAAGTGCGAGCGCTGCGTGAAAGTGAGAGCGCGCCTCGTGTGCGCAGGCGAGCGCCGAGGCGCAAGCCGTGTCTTTTCACCCTCCCCAAACACTGCCCCCCCCGCCCCGCCTCTCCTCCTCCTCCTCCCAACACACAGAACCCCTTCGCTGCCTCCCCCACCCCCTCTACACACCCCCCACGTGCGAGCGAGCGAGCGTGCGTGCGAGCGCCGTCTTCCAACCCCAACACTGCCCCACCACCAACCCCCCTCGCTCTCCTTGCCCCCAACACTCACGCACTCAACACACACCGCCACTAACCCCCCCCCCCTGCTCCTCCCCGTGCGTGCGAGCGAGCGGCCCGTCTTTTCAGCCCCCCCCCCCCAATTCCTTGTCCCCCCGGTGCTCACGCAACGCAACGCCCCCCCACCACCCCCCCACCACCACCCCCCCACCACCACCCCCCCACCACCACCCCCCCCCCCACCCCCCCACCACCACCCCTACCTACCCCGGGGCGTGCGTGCGCGAGCAATGCCTTTGCACTCTCGGGGTTGACCCCGCCCGCCCGCCCGCCCTCCTCCTCCTCCGCCTCCTCCCCGCCGCCGCCGCCGCCACGCACACGCGCACACAACACCACCCCCACCAACCACGACTGCTTTGCCCCGTGCGTGCGTGCGTGCCAGAGCGGTGGTGTCTTTTCACTCTTCGCGCTCCTAACCCCCCCCCCACACACACACACACCGACCGACCACCACCCCAGCAGCGCCTTCTCACCCTCCCCCACTACCGCCGCTACAGCCGCCCCCCCCCCTCCCAAGGCACACGCATCCAAACACCCCTCCCCACACACACACACAATACAAAACCACCGCCGCTATAGTACCCCCCCCCCCCCCCGGGTGCGTGAGCAGTGTCACCCCGGCACAACACTCCCCCCACCACGACCCCATCTCCCCACTCCGTGTGTGTGTGCGTGTGTGTGTGCGTGCGTTTGTGTGCGCGTGTGTGTGTGTGTGCGTGTGTGTGTGTGCGTGTGTGTGTGTGCGTGTGTGTGTGTGTGCGTGTGTGTGTGCGTGTGCGTGTGTGCGCGCCGCGCCTCCTCGCTGAGTGCTTTTTTTCGCAGCAGCAGCAGCAGCAGCACGTGGTGACGTGGTGACCGCGGCGTAACGCCGAGTGGGAGCGACCTCGGGGGGAGGGTGAAGCAGCTGCGCCTCTCTCTGCCTCTGCTCCTGCCGCCGCCGTCTCGGCGTTGTGGGAGATTCGTGACGAGGTCCCGCCGCTCTCATCATCATCATCCTCCTCCTCCTCGTCGTCCTCCTAATCCTGCTTGCTCGTCGTCTTCTGGGTCCCGCAAGTGACGCTGGCCCATTGAACGTGTTTTTAAAAAAAAAACACACACACAAACAACCTGTGTGTGACCCTGCGTTAATTCTCAGTGGTGAATTGGTGCACGAGCGCAAATAACAACCACTCAACACGTTTGTCAATAACACTGCCCGAAAGAGGTGAACGGCGTGTATAAAAACGACCTTTTGTGGGAAATGGACCTTCCTTCTAGGAGCAGAATCATTGCCCGAAACGTCGCCTATTGACGAACGCGTTGAGTTACTGTTTTTTTGTTATTTTTGTACAGGGGTGTGACCAATCGTCGCCTGTCTGCCTCCTCCCGGCTGCTTGATGGATAGTGGCACGCGATTCCGAGCCGCGTTTCAGTTTCAAAATCGATGTTTTTATCCTGCCGTTTGCCCATTGTCAAGATTTCACTTCGCGTCTGCACAGTTTTGTTCGCTCTGTTAGCCTGAATGTAACATCGACGCAACATTTGTTCATGTAATTTGCATGAATGTGAACATATTTATGCTTGTTCAACACGGAGGTTCGCAGCGTGTTTCGTGTGGTTAAATGCTGACATTAAGCGACACATTGGTCCACTTACATTTAGCAGGTGATGTGTGTACTGTATGTTGAACATCTTTCGCACCGTACGTAACGTGGTGATGTAAACACGCGTTAATTGGCCGATAACACCTTCATATATCGAGGACCGCAGAGCTTGGAGGGGAATTTGGCACTGGGTCACCGCCTGACTGCCTTTCCTGCTCGTCTGTGGTTCTTCCTCGCACCTCTGAGTCGGTACAATAACGCTCTTCACGAGCGAGGGAATACTGACATAGCAAACATGCTAAAATTAATGTTTTGATTTTCGTTACGAATGGTGAAGCAATTCAGTTTGGTGCAACTGATCTGACAGTTGTTTATAATTATGCTAAGCAACATAAAATAAACATCTGCAGCCCTTTTGACAATCCACTACGGCTTGAAGTCCTCCCAATCATCATTGGGGTTGTGTGACTATACTTTATCACGCTGGACAGTAAGGGTTGGTGAAGTGGCACCACCCACTGATGTTAGCCGTTGCCTGAAATCAAAGTCAGGTCGCCTAGCATAGCACGGTGCACATGCCACTGCACCACCTTCTCTCCATGCTATACTTTGAAAAGTTAGATATTCTCGCGTTTCAGGTATACCTAAATTACAGGTGTGTGTGTGCTGATTTTGCAACTTCTTGTTTTTTGCATGTGGTACACCGAGGGATTAATATATAAGGAGCATTTGTTTCATACTCACCAGTTTGGATCTGCATTGTTTCAGTAAAATTGTTCAACCTGGCGAGATGAAGAGGGTCCAGATGATAAATAACGTGCGATTGTCATTAGGAATGTGACCATCATTGGCGAGGTGAAGAACCGTTTTGGCCTTTCCTAGTCAACCTTGCAGAAATATTATTTTTTAAATGTATCTAGTGTACATTGCAGCGGAGGCATGACTTCTACAGATGGTGTAGAACTTAAAATTATTCTACAGGTAATTGACAATCCCACATACACGTGAACCTATAGTTGGTGATGTGAAAGGCTTTTGGTGCTATCATTGTATGACCCGCCATAGGTTTTCAATTGCCACACTCATTGAAGATAATATCATTACGTTGATGTCATAATGTGGAGTCTCAGATGTCTGTCGGAAATTAAGTGGAAATAGAGCAGAATGCTGCTATATTTCGATGGACTAATGTTTCATCTATAAAGTAATTCAAAACATACGTTTGTGTACCAAGCAAAACGCTCGTGAATTATGTATGTACTGTACCATTTAATACAAGGTAAAGCAGCGTTACGTGGTTAGCGTGATCCACTATGAATCTCCTCACTTAGTTTGAGTCCTGAAAAATAATATCAGAATCAGTTTCTGACCTCCCCAAATCCCCCATGAGCAGACATTGCATTGGGAGGCATTCATCCATTGGTGAATAAAAAATGGTTAGAATTGATTTGATTTACATAATTTCATATAAATACAATAATTTACAAAGCTTGAATAAACTTGCATTGTGAACATGGTATTAGATGGTTGCATGAACATGTGTATTTGTAGATTTATATTTTTGACTAAATGTTTCCACTGTAAAAGTGTAATGTGTCCAATTTCTTTAGAATATCACGTTATCTAAGAATGTATTTGCAAATGAGGTCAACCCTATTGAGAACTGACGTATTTAACATAATACCTGTAGTGGGATTACAAATGTCACACTGACATAGTGCTTTTCACTATTGACCTCCAAAAATGCAGTACTGCAATTTGGAACGAGTACATTTTCTTATTTGAATTCTAAGTATTGTTTTCTTACAAGAAATATAAAACATGTTTCAATTGTTCTTTTGGCACATACCAAAAGCACATTTTAAAATGTGGTCTCCACCTAGAAATCAAATAAATATTCTGTCTGCCACCCCTGCTATGAATGCAAATTGCTCAAAACAGTAGCCAGCTACACATGTTTATTTTATACGTCAGGGCTAATGATGATGTTGGTCAGATGTATTGGGTGAGTAATAATATTCTGTCCCTCTTGTAAAACGTGTTTGAATTGTTTTTCTTTTCTGTTTAAGTAAGACACAAAAGTTATTCCATTGCTGTACAATGTCATGTGATACTACGCTGGTGTAATGCAGAGATGGCGTTATTATTGGCATAAAGATGTCGACTGGAACAATCAGCAGAACCCATGCCATTCATGGCACCACTCCTATCACAATTACTAAACCTTTTAGCTGTTGCACCATGAACACGCGACCTTCAAGGTCTGCTTTTACAATCTCCCATCAACTAGCTTGAGGTCTCCCCTCTTTATCGCTGACCTCTGAATGTCCACTCCATTGCCAGCCGAAATAACCTACCTTCCTCCACCCTGCACGGTACCTAGCCATTGCGATCTTTCTTATTGTGTGGACAGTACCTGCTTGCTAAATTCTATTCAGTATTTCAAAGTTAGTTACCCTTTGGTGCTATGAAATTTATAGTATTCCTCACACGCATCAATATTGAAAGCCTCTGAGGTTTATTTTATAGTCACTTTGTTAAGCCACGATCAATTAAGAGTAAAACAAAATCCTATTTTCAAGAGAGACCCTTAGAAATTGCGGGGTACATGCCAGAGTAAAATATTATATCTCTGCAAGTTCCAATTAAGAATGATATGGGAACGGGGGACATACGCTGTGTTTTTTTATTTAGTTTAATGAATAATTGAAGTCATATTTATTGTATTTCATATCTAAAGTTTACGACGATATTACACATTAATGCATGCAGGTGTATAGCTAAGGGTTAATGGTATTTAGCACCAGTGGTCTAATGATTGTGAATTAAGCACAATGCATGTATTTTTTTATGTGTAAAATAATTAGAAAGTTTTATATACTGACTGCACGCAACGATACTGTGCAAGCTTCATTTTATGCTGACAATAACACCCGGTTGAGGCTAAGGTTGCTTGCATTAAATGTAACTCGTAAGCCAATACGAACACAACCCAATACGAAGTATTAACCTAATTATTGAATACAAACCATTGTGCATTGTTGTGGAGCAGCACGAAAAACAATGCAGCGAGGGGTGGCGTCACAGTGAACAACACCACAACGTGCGCTATCTCTCTCACAGATACTTCACTGCAGTGTTGGCAGGGTGGCACAGTTATAACACTTGTGCCTCACAGCACGAAGCCCCTGGGTTTGATTCCTGGCTCGGGCACCTTTCT